CACTATGATAGTTTTGTTGGTATTGAATATGTTTTTTTTTATGACATAGCCTTGGCTCTTTATCGATATGTGTATATCGGGCTATTTAGCTTTATATTGCCCTTTGTCATTGGTCTTGTGTATGCCATTTCCAACTTTTTGTTGGTTGTGCTAACCTCTATTGTGCCTTTGTTGTGCTTAGATATTATGAAGGAGAAAGCCCCTATTTATAATGGAAAATATAGCGAATGGGGCATACTTTTATTGTGAATATGTTTTATAACTCATGCAATCAAATGTCGGGAGACTTCAATAGTCTATCATTTTTTATGCGTTTACCCAACAACCGTTACTTCTAATCCCTAAAACCCTATTAGTTGTTGTATTATTGTCTAAAACAAATACGTTAGCAAGTTTAATAAACAAATGATTCAAATGTATTTGAATTAATTGTAATGTGGACAAGTCGAGGCTTTCATGGTGTTTTAGAAACACCTTTCATTGTCTCGTTATTAATCTCTTACCATTAAATGGGACAAATCGGGCTAGAACTTTAAAATTTTTTTAAATTCAGATTTTAAATTTTAAATTTTGAATTTTACCTCCATTGAATTTAAAAAAAAAAAAAGATTTAGCCGATACTATAATTTTAACTATCACTTCCTCTTTTTAAAAAATTAAATTTTTGATATTTTGAAATGATGTTTTGCACACGTGTAGAAAAAAATTCAATTTTTTTTTTTTTGAAAAAGAAAATCTTAGAATTTTTCAAAGTTGGAAATTATATATATATTTTTTAATTTTCTAAAAAATAAAAATGTAGAAAAATGACAAAAATAGAAATTGACCGAAGATGATCCTAATTTTTTTAGCGGGATCTAGATAAATCGTAATGAATGTTTTTCATTACGAAGCTATTTATGTGTTAAGAATCAAATTCCCATCAGTCTTTGCATGCATCTGTAACTGTCCTTCTTGGATCATGACTTTTGATGATGAAAGCACACCAGAATCGTTTGTTTCCCTTCCAATTGACTTCTCCATTTCTCATTTTTTAAGCAATTTTTTTATATAAGTCGAAATGCTAGTTAGACAAGTAGTGCCAATTTTATTAGGTATCTTTTTGTTAGAAGCAATAAAACAAAGATATAGACTGTCGACTAGCATATACCGAACTGAAAGCAAATGCCTCGTCCGTCTAATTGCATAAAGTTAACAAATATTCTTGAAAAGTTTAAAATTCTGTACGTTTGGTTTGACAGTGAGTAATAATATTTGCAGACGAATTTAAGCACAGTACTAAGACCAATTAAGTTTATATTTTTATCTCTATTAATGATCAACTATTAATTCTTTCAAAATTGGGAATTTCATAAAATTTCACTCCACATTCTTTTCCCTCCATTGTAAAAGTTAGAATTTGTCACCACAATTGTTTCTTTTGGTTACATTTGCCCCCACAAATTTAATTTAATGCAAAAAATTATTTGACCAAATAGTATTGACCTTTCAAAAATACTTGTCCTTGAGGAAAAGTAAAAGATACGTCTTTATTATTATGCTTTTCTGCTTTGATTTGTTTAATTACGCCCTTAAATTATCATTACTAATTTGAAATTTCTTCGTTATTTTAAGAATTTAAATATAAAACACACACACACACATATATATATATATATATATATATATATATATTGGATATTTCATAATAAATTTGATTCTGAAATATTGATATATATATATAGACGTACTAACCACTAAAGAATAAGATTCTCTAATTAATGCATATCACTCATAATATTTAATGACATATTTCCATAGTTTTAAATTCAATCTAATCTTAATATTTTAAATACAAAGAAAAATAAGATCATTGACAAGAAAAGATATGTGAGGTTTTTTACGCTAATTTATTAGAATACGATTATAGTATGTGCGACAAGATTTTTCAAAAAGATTATAAATCAGTATTGAATAAATAAATGAATAAAAAGGTCAGTTGTTTATCCGAAGTAGAAGTTGTACCTTATTTCTTCCCTTTATAACGAGGGGTTGCCACGTGTTCTCACTTTTGGGCTCAACAATGTCTTGACCTTTCTCGAGCCCAGCTTATTCCCACTTACTGTTACGATAAATCTCAATGTCAGAAGGAGTTTGAATGGCAACGATCATATTCTGGAGCCCAAATCAATGTTTTTCGGAAGAATCTAGGATTGCTGTTGAAGGATGAAGGTACATTGAAATTTTGTGTACTAATTCTCTATTTTAAAATTCTCAAAATGAGATTGATGTTGAAGGAGCTTATGATTGCGTTTATGGCTTGGTTGCAAGGATGAATCTAGGATTACTGAGATGGGGTAGCTGAAAAATTCTTTTCTATAATAAATTAGAGGAAAAAAAATGTAAATATGCCAAGTTATATCTTTTTTAGAAATAAAAATAAATTAATTGTCTTAAAGGATCAAACTAGTCTGTTGTGAGGAAAAAAGAACTAAATTTGTCTTCTGAGCTAATTCTCTATTTTGGAGGGTTAAACTTATTAAGAAAAAAAAAAAAAAGACGTTAGAGAGAAAATAAGATTCTAGTTTTGTTTTCTATTTTCAAGGATTAAAGTAAAAGTTTCTAAGAAAAGAAATCCCGTATATTATATTAACAAGGGGGTAGTAGCAAAATATTTTAGCAATTTTCTAATAAATTGTGATCATGGAGGGAAATGGAGGGATTTAAATCCAAAATCAAAGACCTAATTGAGTGAATTTTTGGTATAGGGACTAAAGTGAACTTTAATTTAGTCAGATTTACCCCCTGCCAAGTGATGTTATTCTATGCTTGTCAGGGTTTTTTTCCCTGTATATGATACCTATTCTTTTTAAATTATTTTAATTGAAATCTTATATTCTCTTTTTTTATTGTTGAGTCCTTTTACTATTCATTTTATTGTGTTTTCATCCTTCCTTAATAATTTCATTAGTTGGTGAGATCACATGGCATGTACACTCCTGAATACACGAAACGTCTCATACATGATAATATCTTAATATAGAGACTCGATCAAAATAATTTAAACAATATAAGATTTTAATCAAAACAATTCAAAAAATACATGAATCAAATTATTATTATTGTTATTTTAAGTTTCATGTTATTGTTTGCTCAAGATCTCGTCTTGAATGCTATGATGTCGGATGTGAGACCTCGTCACAATAAAACTTTGAAGTGTCTTTAAAAAAATATATATCATAATAATTTAAAAATAATAAAATAGATACGAAATAAACTTAAAATGCAATTAAAAAAATTAGAGTACAAACATGTTCCTTAAATTAAAGTAAAAATAATTGTAATGCTAACTAGTTAATTATACGTATTAAAAAAGAAAATGTGGTGCCATTTATTTTTTTTTTAATTTTTTTTCAATAAAAACTCTATTTTTCATTTTCAATTGGTCAAATATTTAGAATTTCTTACTTTTTGTTAAAAAAAAAAAGATCCATTAACCGGGGATTTGGGACTAATCAATATTGCACATCACAATATTTTTGTTATAATAATTACATGTTAGGTTCGTTTTTTTTTTTTTTTACGTATTTAACTTATTAAAAATAAATAAATAAAAAGCATTTAACAAATTCATTGTGACGAGGTCTCATATATGACACATTTTGTGCATTTATGATGAGATTTTAAACAAACAATAACAAAAAGTAATAAATAATAAATTGATCGGTGTATTCTTTCAATTATTTTGATTGAGTCATTCTATTAGAATCTCGCATACGATATGTGTTATGAATTCAAAAGTGTACGTGTCATAGTAACTCGCCAACTTATGTCATTATACTTAATAGAAGAACAAAACAAAATAAAATAGAAGGACTCAACCAAATACACAAAAAAAAAAAAAAAAAAAGTAAAAGATCTCAAATTAAATAATTTGAAGAGTACATGAACACTTCCTAAAAAAATGTACCACTTCTAGTTTAGACCTAAAATTTATCTTCTAAAAGTTTTTATTTTTGCCAAAATATTTCTCAATCAATTTCTAAGTTTTTTTTTTTAATTTCTATTTTGTCAAACCAAGTTTTTTATTTTTGTTTATGGCATCGTATTGAACTAATCGTCGAACCACTTCGTCGTGAGATGCGTCGGTTCAAATATCGAATCCACTTTAAATCTCGATACAATCGATGTGTCGGAGAATTTCTTAATTACTAAAATAATATTTGACTAATAATAATTATTATTAGAGATGAGACCTTATTAAAGGTTCCCCCCTCTTTTGATCCTTTTTGTTATTATTATTATTATTATTATTTTGTCGATCAAGAACTATCATTAATCCTTAAAAATTAGGAGACTCGACAATTCGTACACCTATTAACTACCAAATCTAATTATTAAAGTAAAATCTAAAATTAAACATTTTACTAAATAAATTTAAGAGAATTCAAAATATTAAATCTAAATTAAGTAGGAAATAAAAATACATAAATAAAAAAAAATTCAGGGTCAGTTTGTTTAGGAAAAAAGATGAAATTAAAGCATTGGGCCCCTTCTTTTTTTAAGTCAGTTACCCTCAGCCCATTGGGCCAGAGCTGCTGGACAGGCCAGCCTTTTCCCTTTCGTGGGCTTGGGCTGGACTGAAACCAACCCAAGCTTTGGCCATGCGGGCTTGGCTTTCCCACAGGCTGGGCTTGTCCAACCCTTTTTTCATTTTTCTTTTCAACAAAAAGCTGGATTGTATAAATTTTTTTCAAAAAAAAAAAAAAAAAAAAACCAATTCTAATTTAACAAAAGATAAAACCTTATAACTTCTGTCTTCTCTTCCATTCTCTACTTCTTCCATTTCTTGCGAAACCCCACCGAGATCGCGCAGCTTCTTGTCCTTCCTTTCCTTCTGTTTCATTTTCAACCTGCTACAACAATCAAAAACAAAGAAGAGACAAGCCAAAATCATACTACTCGAGTACTCTTGTCTACTGCGTAGCTGCGGGTTACGCCCAATAGTGGCGCTGTCGAACATGGCGCAAAGCCCTACCATTGATGCTAATGTCAAGGATGAAGTGCCATTGGACTCGATGCTTTTGGTTATTGCAGGTGGCGGATTCTGGTTTGGTGTGAGGAGTGTTTGGTGCGTGATTTCGGTTGGGGTATGTCAATGGTGGCTGGTCGGCAAATGAAGGCAGTGGGGAGCTGGGTTCAGATGGATTTGGGTGAGGGATTGTGATAGATGTTATTGTTTTAATTATGGAGAAGGCTGGTTTGGGTGATGGTGGTGGAGCAAGATACATTACCTACGGGTAATGTGGTTGTGAAAATAGAAGATGGTAATGGTGGTGGTTTGGGTAGATATGCCAAGTGTTTGTGTTTTTGTCTGTGAGAAAGTGAAGTCATAGTTTTAATTATGGAGGTAGTCAGTTATGGTGGATGGGTGTTGGTGAGGTTCGGGCAATGGGGTAGGGTGGTTCGAATGACGTTTTGACTGTGAGAGTTGGCAATAACTGCAGTGGCTACTGGCTTAAGAGAAAGGGAGCTGATATTGTGTTCATTTGGTGGATGGCTTGCTAATAGCTGTTGGGTTCGCTTGGGCTGCAGGGCAATGGGAGTTGCAGCAGCAGAGATGGTTAGATTGTGGTATTCGAGCTGTGACAGTGGTGGATAAGAGAATGATGGCTTGGGGTGAGGCTATCAATGGCGGGCTAGAGGTGATGGTTTCTTGGCAGTACAAGAGAACAGAGGGGAGTGGTGAGGGTAGTTATTGTTTGGAAGAGTTACAGTGAAGGAGAAACTATGATGATGTGTGACCATGTGGGATTCAACTGGGTTTTGGACAATGAGGGAGAAGAAGATGATGGGTGTATGGGTGAGAGAAAGGAGGTCTGTGGAGGCGTGTATAGGTCCATTTAGGTTTCGGACAGTGTAGGGTCTGCATTAGCATATATCAGCTACAATCGTCATTTCAGTCCTTGTGTGGAGTGGCCTGGGGTGGTTTGAGTGGTAGCTAGGCTTAAAGTTTTGGGGTTGTGGGAAAGGAAAAAGGACATGGTGTTCTCGCCAGCATTTGTATGTTGACAGTGATGTTTGAATGAGAGGTTTGGATGGGGGTTTGTTATTTTTTGTAAGGAGGTCTGGTTTAATGTAGGCTTGTGGCTCTTGTTGTGATGGACATTAGCCGCAATGGCTAGGATAGGCTGCTGTTGTGACAGAGATTGATGGCAGTGGTTGTGGGTCTAGCATAGCTAGTTTTTCTTGTTGCTTAAGGTTGTGCCAGTGGGCTAGAGAGGGACAGTGGGGTTTGCAGGCTTGGTGGGCGGCTGCCATGGAGGCGTGAAGAGGCTACTGTGCTTGTAGAGCTGAGTTGGTGGTTGGTGTTTTGGGATTTGGTGGAATTTTCAGTGAGGTGAGGGGCTTAGGCGTGAGTTTATGGTGAAGGGAGATAGAAGTGGCGGTGTGGAATGGTTTGTGGAGGCAGGTGTGAAAGATGGAGGTCAGTTTTTTTTAGGGTGTGGCTATGGCAGTCATTCTTTTTACAGTGCAAGCTTTTATTTTTCGTTTCTGAAGATGAAGAGTGGCTAAGGTTTTTGTACAGAGACTACATCTCTAGGATTTTTTTATGGGATATGGAAAATTATGGAGGCCCTAAAAAATAATGGGAAAAAGTTGCTTGTATAGGGAATTTTTATGATTGGAGGATGGTCATCTCTTCAGTCTTTTTTTTTTTTTTTGGCATTTTGTGTTATCTTTATTTTATTTATAGTAAATTTTTAAAATAAAATAAAATGAGATAAAATAAGGAAATTTTGAGTCTAGTCAATAAAAACACACTTTTTTCGCTCTCCACTCCTCCTCCCTCACCCTCTCTCTTTCCTCCTCCGTTTCTCTCTACCATCTCTTCCTCTCTCAGTCTCACACTTCTTCCTCTGGGATTGCAAAAACTCTATTAAAAAACAGCGTGACTAATAAGTAAAGTCTTTTACCTCCAAAATCCCTAAGTCAGCACCTAATATGAGACCCAGCAGGGAGAAATCATCAAGACCAAAGCTTTTTGATAAATCCAATGGCTTTCTTAAAGCGAATTCACATTCATGACATGGTGGTTAATGGGTATGTTGACACTGCTATGGAAACCAAAAAGAAAAAAAAATCGCAGAAAATTAAAAAAAGACTAAATAAAATCCCTTTACAGCAATTTTTGACAAAACTAAAAAATGACATGAAGGGTAAAAGCAGAGATACGTTCTTCTAGATGGCGATCACAAGAAGTGGAAGGACAGTGGGGTTGCAATGGCTGAGGTGGCTGAAGTTGTGGTGGTGGGATGAAATAAATCTCCAATTTCGGAAGTTGAATTCCTTATCTTCTTCTTCAACTGCGGATACCAGTACCATGCCCTTGATGACTGAATCGCTCACCATTTAAGGAGATAGAACTCATAAATTAAATTTGGCAACCATGAAAAATCCCCAAACTAACGGATTCTATTCTTTTTTTCAAAAAAGAAAACTTTATCAATTTTATGGTGAAAAAGGAAGGTTAGAATCTCTTGTTCTTGATGCTGTCTCCATCAGATCTTGTCCGGCTCTAGTCAGTAGACACCTCTTTGCAATTACGCAAAAATACCATTAACCTCCAAGGCCACTGGCCTAGGACCACACAAGATTCAAGAAATTTGTGCATTTAAAGGAAGCTCACTATACAAGTAAGACTGTTTCCATCTATCATACTTCTTGTGAAGTTATCAAAGTAAATAATTAAGGTATAAGAAGATTTACAAAGTTAAGAACTTAAATATCAAATTGTAGGCAAGCACAAAGGAGAAAGAAAGTTGAGATAGAAAGAGGGAGAGAGTATCAAGAACATAAGAGAAAGAAAGTAGGAATAAGGAGCTGGAGAGAGAAAAAGGTTTGTCATTTTATGTCTATGAATTTTTATTTTATTTTATATTTTTTATCTACAAATTTTTTTTGCGTTTTATTTTTTGCTTTTGTTTTTGTTTTTTTTGGTGTGGGGGGATTTGTTTCAGAAATTCTTAGTGATTGAAATTATGGAAAATTATGAGGAAATAAAAAGGATATGCAATGATACAATGTACTAGGAAATTAACAAATTTGAGAAATTTATAATTTCTTAAATATTTATGCAAGTAGTGTTTTTTTTTTTAAAAAAAAACATTTTAATGGCCAAGCACTTCAAAATGTTTGTTGTCTAGGAATTTAAAAACTATTTTTTATATTCCTCAACATTTCAAAAAAAAAAAAAAAAAATAGAAAACTTTTTATTCTTCAAACTTTTCAGAAAAAAAAAATAGCTGAGCATTTCAAATTTCTTAAAACTGTTACTATTTCTGTTGGTATTTTTATTTATTAATAATTTGAAAAATTATATATTTTTAAGAAATAATATTTTTTTGTTAATTTATTAAAAATAAAAAATGAATTTAACGACTTTCAAAAATAATTTAAGCTCACGCTCACACTCAGCTATGTGACATTTTTTTTTGGATTAAAAAAATTAGTTAAAATTATTAATTAGCTAGATTTTATAGAGATTTATTTGCTTTTATATGAATTCCTAGATTTAACACAAGAGGACATAGCCTAGGAGGAATGTATTATAAATGAATCAAACATACAAGGACTTAATCCATCAAATTTAATATCAGAGGACTCAACTATTCAAATTGATCAGATATAGGGACCAATACCACGAGAATTTCATCATTTAGAAGAGGCTAGTTTTCCCGTTTACCATTTTACAAGTCAACTCTAAATAGACATCATGTAAGAACAAATAGCATTTGTATTTAACACTAAACAAAAACTATCATTAAAAGCAAACATTGAATAAAGACTGTGTTCTTGCTAAAAGAAACCCAAAATTTTCATATTCAATACATTACACAAACGCACCTTACCAACATGCTTGGTCAAATTCAAAATTTTCTTCAATAAGAGTGTTTCGGATTAGTTTTTACGTATTTCAAAATTAATTTTTTTCTAGACATGATTAAAAAATATTTTTTCAATATACGATTTTAAATATTCTAAAAATAAATTTTTAAAAACATTGATTACATAAATTCTAATAGTTCAAGTCAACTCTATTTTCATTCGGCAGATTCATCTCTCTTTATGCACATTGAAAAAGATAGCAATTGTATTTAACACTAACCAAAGACTATCACCAATAGAAACAATGAACAAAGACTCTGTTCATGCTAAAGTGAAAACAAAATATTCATATTCGACACTTGACGTAAACATAGCTGACCAGAATTTTGGTAAATTTCAAATTTTATATTTCCTTTTTTGGAAAAAAAAAAAGTATAGATATACTGCCTACATATTCAAAGTAATAATAAATTACGTATCGCACATCCATATAAATTTGCAAGGATTCTAAGCATGCATGCATGCTGGTGCCAAAGCTTCAAGAACCTTACCTTGTGGGCCAAATTTACTTCTTCACAAAGCTAACAATGGGATCGATCTAACCGAAGATTTGAGATTGAATGAATATTAATTCTCTTTACCACTAAAATCAATTTCATCTGATCAGCTTTTAAATTTTGAATTATTAATAAAAATTGAAATGATTTGTGAACAAATAAATCACACTAAAAAACTGCATATAAATTGATATATCAAGTAACAAGTGGAAATATAAATGATCTTCAACCATGAATTTAAAAGTAATTAATTAACCATCACTCAATTTTGTATGAAAATTTTGTTTATTTGCCTAGATTAAAAAATGATAAAAATTATCAGAAAAAAGTCAAACTTCCATCCAGATTCTAAGCTCAATAATATATCTATGGTTGAAAACATTTAACAAATGCCTATGGCAAAAGCCAGATTCATTTCAAACACAGTCATGGATGCAGAAAGACTGAGTCTGCATTATTTGCTTCTCATCCTCCCACTCACATTTTGTACTTCCATGGACTCCATAAACACCAGTCAAACCATTAAAGAAGGTGACCTTTTAATTTCCAAAGGGAATATTTTTGCTCTAGGATTTTTCAGTCCAGGCAGTTCTAGCTACAGATATCTAGGAATTTGGTACTATAAAGTACCAGAACAAACTGTGGTGTGGGTAGCAAACAGGAATAATCCAATCAATGACTACTCAGGAGTTGTCTCATTTGATGACTATGGAAACCTCATTCTCTATAGCCACAGCAATCCAAGAGATCCAGTATGGTCTGCGAATGTTTCAGGGGAAGTAGCACATAGCTGTGTAGCTCAGCTTTTGGATTCAGGAAATTTCGTTCTGGTTGAAGATGGAAGTAGCAGAATTCTATGGCAAAGCTTTGATTATCCTACACATGTCCACCTTCCTGGAATGAAACTTGGGCTCCATCGGAACACAGGTATTGAGCGTTTCGTAACATCTTGGAGATCAGCTGATGATCCTGGCGTTGGGGACTATTCATTCAAGGTCAACCCAAATGGCTCCCCACAGTTCTTTCTCTACAAGGGTACAAACCCTTCCTGGCGGACTGCCCCGTGGCCATGGAAAGGCCATAGGAATTTGTACCACCTTATTTTTATTAACAATCAAGATGAAATATCCTTGTCTTACAATGTTCCTGATGGTTCTGTTATCATGAGAAAAATGTTGGATCATTCAGGATTTATATCAGTTGCGACATGGCACGGAAGTGATGGCAAATGGAAGGAGTTCTGGAAGGCACCTCAGTTTCGTTGCGACTCTTATGGAAAGTGTGGTGCTTATAGCACATGTCAATCTGCAGATGTTGTTATGTTTGAATGTGCATGCTTACCTGGCTACGAGCCCAAATACCCAAGGGACTGGTTTTTGAGGGATGGGTCTGGTGGTTGTGTTAGGAAGAGACTAGAATCCTCCTCAGTATGTGGTAAAGGAGAAGGGTTTGTAAAGGTGGAAATTGTGTTTCTTCCTGATACTTCAGCTGCAGTTTGGATGGACATGAGCACGACGGGTCCAAACTGTGAACTGGAATGCAAAAGGAATTGTTCATGCTCAGCGTACTCAGTCATAGATATTCCTGGGAACCAGAGTGGTTGCTTGACATGGTATGGAGAACTAATGGACATCATTTCTGATAGGGAGGAAAGGTCTGATCTGTACATTCGTGTTGATGCTCTTGAATTAGGTATTGTGTTACTGCCAGGCACCAATTCAAACTGAGTTCCAATTGATTGTGGGCGGCAGAAAAGCCTCTGAGTTGCGAACAAAATTCTCTCTTGTTCCATTTTTGTTTAGTTCTTTCTTTCTTTCCCCTGTTTTTTGTTTTTGTTGTAACAACGCCATTGATCATTCTCTTTTCACTCAAGCAGCTGAGAATGGAGCAAAATCAAATGCTTCTGTTGGAAAGGAGAAGTTGACCATTATAGTAGTGACATTCGTTTCAGCATCGCTTGTCGTTAGCATTTTCGCTTACTTGTGGCTTAAGAAAAACAAAAGAAAAGGTAGGGCAACAAGCTGATATATTCCATTGTTTAGTAATCTGCTTCAATCACGGTTATTCACTTGGGTTTTTCTCTCTTTTTTCCCTACTTGAATGCATCTGCAAAGGTAATTTGTTAGCAAACTTGCTAGGGAAAAACAGCATGAATCCAGATGTTGAATTTTTCAAGCTGAGCACAATATCTGCAGCAACTAACGGATTTTCTCCAGCGAACAAACTTGGACAAGGTGGCTTTGGCGTTGTTTATATGGTAGAGGTTTTTTTTTTTTAGTGCGTTATTTTTTTTCAAAACTGAATTAATATTGAATTCTCAGAGCTGTGTGTGCACATGATTTTAGGGTCAGCTACCTAACGAACAGGAGGTTGCTATAAAAAGGTTATCTAAAAATTCCGGACAGGGAATAAACGAGTTCAAAAATGAAGTCGAAGTAATTGCAAAACTTCAGCACAAGAATCTTGTGAAACTTCTCGGCTACTGCATTCAGGGAGGAGAACAAATGCTAATTTACGAATACATGCCAAACAAAGACTTGGACTCATTTCTTTTTGGTACGTAAGTGTGTTAATGCTTCATCGTCTGTCCCTAAACACTAGTTAAAATGAAAAACAAAAAACATTGATGCAGATGAAGCAAGAAAGTCGGTCCTAGATTGGCAAAAACGCTTTGACATTATTGTTGGAATTGCTCGGGGGATCCTATATCTTCACCAGGATTCAAGGTTGAGAATCATTCATAGGGACTTAAAATGTAGCAACATTCTACTGGATGCTGAGATGAACCCAAAAATTTCAGATTTTGGTTTGGCTAGAATATTCGAAAGCGATCAAATTCAAGGCAAGACAAACAGAGTTGTGGGAACATAGTAAGTAAACAGAGGTTAATGAGATACTCTGCCTCGTTATCATGAATACTAGACCTAACATTGTCTTGCATATTTTTCTTGTGCAGTGGGTATATGTCACCAGAGTACGCAGCGTTCGGAAAATTTTCTGTAAAATCTGATGTTTTTAGTTTCGGAGTCATGCTATTGGAGATTGTAAGTGGCCAGAAGAACAACGCATTTGATCGAGAAGATCCTTCCCTGAACTTAATTGGACATGTAAGTCCTTTAGAGACTTTTACTGCTTCCAAAAGTTAAAATTATTGATTGACATTTCAGAATAGCTGATTAATGCTATGAATAATAACACAGGTGTGGGATTTATGGAGAGAAGACAGAGCATTGGAGGTAGTTGACTCATCGCTGAAGGACTTGTATACACCTCAAGAAGCCTTGAAATGCATTCAAACCGGGCTCTTGTGTGTGCAGGAAGATGCAATGGAAAGGCCATCCATGTTAGCAGTTGTTTTCATGTTGAATACTTCTGAAACAACTCTTCCTTCTCCAAAGCAACCTGCATTCATTCTTAGAGAATCTTGCAATAATCCGCAAGTAGCAGTAGATGTGGCAGAAGGAGGAACATGTTCTATTAATCATGTAACAATGACTGGAGTTCTAAGCCGCTAAAGATGAGCTATTGCTCATATGATTGTCTGTCTAGTTTTAGAATTTTGAAGTAGCTGGCTTTTGCACATGTTTGTTACTCTAAAAGCCTGGGTAGATATATCACAGCAAGTCTGCTCTTCTTTACAAGATTTATTCCAGGCTTGCTCCTATGGAGGCTTGCATAATGCATGTTTACAAAAATTAATCATATAATTATCAAAGCCTGTTGAGACGTTCAAATTGCAGTGCGATTTCCTCAGTGATTGGAGCAAGTCCACCCTAGATGTCACAATTCTTAAAAAGTTCAACTAACCAGTTTAAGATGGCAGGCCCTAGAAATGTAGGAGATCCTATCCCACTACTTCTCTGGTGTATAGTTTTTCCAAAAAGAAGAAATATCTAACTGCCTTAGAATGGGCATAAATGTTCTCTCTATCATATAGTTTTAAATCACAAACAGTTGAAAAAACGATCACAATCGTCGTCATGGATCGCAACTTACTACAATATTAAAATAACGATAACAATATATTTCGAAATCATTACACAATGACCATTATACAGTGTAACGACTGTTATTTAAAATTATTCTTTACCATAATATCAACACCAAAGGCACAACCCATTAAGTTTCATAGCCATCATGGCTTCTTAAAGAACATTATATATCATGTTACTGCTTCTGATATTCAATACTTTGTTTCCGTCTAATGCAATCAACAGCGTAGCACAAAAACAGTTTATCTCTGATAGTCAAAAACAATTCCCGCATCATCCAAAAGGAAACTTCAAACTAGGCTTCTTCAGTCCCGGCAACTCCTAAGCCGCTAACATCCGAATGGGAAGTCTCAAAGCAAAATGTAGTTTTGCCTGTGATGAGGATGGTTGCCTCAAACAGAAATATAATGATGATGTGGTCTTTTTCATGGCTGAAGGAACGGTAGAGATTGTTTGGAGTACCCTCCAATGATTAAATTATTGTACAAAGAGAGATGTAAGTCATTTTATATTGTAATGTGATTGTGTAAAAAAGTAGGAGATAATAAACGGTGATATTAAAGTATATTCGTGGCAAATTAAAATGAATAAAGAATTAAATATTTTATCTTGATTTTTAAAAAAATTAAGGATTAAAATAACACTATATGTCATATTTCATAGTATAAAGATTAACGAATCACTAAAATAATTCTACAAAAATTTTAAAATGACTGACTTGAGACATAGCTATATTACTTTTTTGAGACGATATATATTATCTATATAATTTATTTAATATAATGAATTAAAATTATACTACATATTATCTCAAAGATATAACAACCTTAATCTTTTTATTTTATCTTAACAAATTTATACTATTTATAAGGTTTAAAATTCAAAATAAAACAACATCATTCTTCCAATGACATGTCGAAATAAGAACAGTTAAAACGATATGGCTTTTCCGAAGGGAAACTACAAAAAAAGACAAAAATAGGAGAATGTATATTTTATTTATTTATTTATTTTTAAATGACAACAAAAGAGTTAGGTGCCCAAATGACAAGAAAAGAGATAGGTGTGAAAAATAATCATTCCTGATCGTGTCTGACCATAATGAAATGCTTTTGAATTTAAAACATTATAATAATGATTACTAATGATTTTGATCAAAATTGATATTATTTTTTTTATCAAAATAATCTAACAGAGTTTACAAATCCCTGTTTTTTTTTATAAGTCCATTACTATATATATTTTACTGCTCTTGGGAACATGTTAGTGTGAAGTAGGCCAGTGTTCCATGTTAATTTCCTGAACTAGATTGAAAAATGGCACAACTTTATGTTTTTGTTTTACATTACAGTTTCAACTTCACTTATTTTCTTCATACCTATTCGTTTCTTCTGGTTTTTTGGGTCATTACAGCATGAACATATATGAACATGTGACGTCAAACACAAGCTTCTCTATTTGATGAAAAAATAAAAATAAAAAAACCAACAGAAATTGCATTTAGGTCATTGCTGATCCCAAGTGCCAGAAAAAAAAAGGAAAATCAGTTACTCATATCATGGCCATATTATCTGAGGTAGCATTATTGTTTGGGTGGACCAAGAGGGTTCAAAACTTCTAATATGAGCTCGTCATAGCCTTGTCGTTATTGGATTTCTGAAATTTTTAGTCTTCATTCGTTGCTCCACCGTTTTGGAATTTGAATACCAGCTAGATGAATTTCTCCCCCCATTTTGGTATCTATTCTGCAATGCTTCTTGAAGATTGGGGATAATTAAAGGCGAACCCACAAAGTGAATCCTTTGGGAGAGTTCGAATTTACATAAAATTAATTATTTCCATGGCCCAGCATGATAGCCAAGTCTCACTTAATGCATAGTGCATCTTTGTAATGTTGATCAAATTTTGCAGATTTTAATTATTTCCATGGCCTAATTGTAACCAAATCACTCTTAAATAGATTTTATTAGCATAGTATCCATATGTTTGCGTTTGAGTTTATATAATATGTTTTAATATTTTAAATAATTTAAAAATCTAGACGCAAAATAAAAATTAATTAACTCTAATTGTAGAAATTTATTTACCTTTATATATATATATATATAATTGAGTTTAAATATATCTTATGAATTTTTTTATTCTAATCAATTAAAAGAAAATTCAATTAATTATTAAAAAAATAAATCAAATTAGCTAAATCAATTTACATTAAAAGAATATTTAATTTTAGTAAACAAGTCTACAAAAAAATTTAAAAATATATATTAATTATGAAAAAATTATTTTGAGTAAATAAAAAAATTAAAAAAGAGACTAGGTTGAGACTCGGACTAGAGCCTCTTGTGTAGGTTTGGAGACAACGTAGGCTCACACGTTTGGACTAAGCATACACAAAAAGTAGAACTTTTTTATAATAATAATAATTAAAGTTAGAAAAAGACATGATTTACTTGTCTGTAATAGGGTTGATTCATTATATATACTTTTGTTATATTATATGCAGAAATATATATATGCATTTGGGGTATCGGCTGCATCCAACCTAGAAATATAAAAAAGCCAAAACCTAATTAATGCAATAATTGAATACGATTCATTCCAACAAAATAAATAAATAAATAAATAAACAATTTGGTTCGATTTATTTATTTATTTTTTCCTTATCAAAACAGAATAGTACTCGCCACTAATTATACAGTCAACAAAATGATGCATAATGCCCATTCCACTAGCTATTTTTAAGCGGCAAATTAATAAAAGTTTTTATTCCATATTTGAGTAGCTGAGAAAATGACAGAACCAAAACAAAATCTCCAGCATCGATGACGATCAAGTCTGCCTTGTGACCATGTCTTTCAGACGTTTATTTCCTTTCTCGTTTTTGAGAAAATCAACAAATTTACCAAAATAGGACTCCTGATGCAACTTCTGGTTTCCAAAAATCGCCGCAGCTTCACTGGCTTTTTCCCTCAAACTTTTTCCTTCCTCAGACACCATTGCGAATTTCAGAGCCTTGGCAACGCCATCCCGTGTAAATGACCCATCTTCACCTCTCTCTATCTCCACACCTATACCCTTCTCAACCAGATACCTTGCATTCAAAGGTTGGTCAATGATGAATGGTAAAAGGATTAGGGTATGACCAAACTGCAAAGTTTCAATGATTGAACCCCATCCAGAGTGAAATAATGACCCCCCAATTGATGGGTGACCCAAAATTTCCAACTGTGGCGCCCATCCCATACAAACAATCCCTCTGCCAGATGTTCTTTCACTGTAACCTGAAGGCAAAGCATCAAGATCATCAATGGCCCAACCGGGTTTTCTTAATGTCCATAGAAATGGCAATCCAGATAACTCTAGCCCATGAGCAATCTCATGTACTTGATCTTTGGTTAGCTTATACTCACTACCAAAGCCTGCAAACACAACAGACTTAGTGTTTTGGTCATCAAGCCATTTGAAGATTTCACCCCACCTGCCATCTGTGATTTCTCTTCTTTCTGGTTTCTCTGGTGGTAACAAGCCAACAGGAATCACAGGTTTTTCTATCAGCCTTTCAAATAAAGTCAAGTAGTCTCCTTCGAACTCGGTGCAACTGCGTGCCGCAAAAGCTTGGCATCCATGAAGTATCTTGGAAACCCTTTCAACATCTGTGATCCCAGAAGCATTTCCTCCATAAATCCCTTCAAAAACAACAACAGCCTCATGGTTTCGATAAGCTATTGAGGAGGGAAAGTCAACCCACTCTGGTTTTGATGTCATACTCATCCATGATGGCCTAAATCTTTTTTGACCATCGCCAATTAAGCACTCTGGGTGCGCAAGAAATACATATGCAGCAGTAGAGACAACAGAGAAATGAATAAGAGGAACTTTGTTTTCTCTTGCAATCTCTACCATCCAATAAGGAATCATATCAATGATGATCCAGTCTGGAAGTTGATCGGCGATGAGCTGCTTCAGCGGGTGTTGCAAGAGATCATATGCACACTTCAGATAATCAATTTTCTCGGCAGGAATGTCAACCGTGGCCTCTCCATCTTCTGGTAAGATATCGTTGTCTAAGCTTGGTAATGGAAACTCTACAAATTTTACTAAGTCTGCTAAATTTGGAGGGATCGTAGGAAGTCTTTTGATGTTTCTTGGGGTTGAAACAAAGGAGACTTTGATTCCAGCTTTGGCTAAATTTATGGAAAGTTGAAAGAAAGGTATCATATGGCCAAAGGCGATCCATGGAAGCATCACTACGTGAAGTTTCTCTGCCATTTTTTCATGGTTTAGTTTGTTCATAACTAAAGAGTGTTTTTCTGTTTGGTTTTCTGTTGCCTGGAGCATTGTCGGCGAGAGAAAGTTCTTATTGTTCGTTGTCCTAGGCTATTTTGCCTTAATTTCTCAATGACAGTACTGGTTCTATTTTCCTCTCCAGCTTATATTAGTTTTTATTATTTAAAATTTATTTTTGAATTTATTATTTTTTATAAAAATTATCATCCAATTAATTTTTTTATTTTATTTAAATTTTATTTATTAATAAATATGATTTATTTTTTCTATATATGAATTTTTGAATATTATTATTTAAAAAAAATTGATATAATTTATATATGGATTGTTAGAATTTTTAAACGACAGGATCATGATAATATATATATATATATATATATATATATATATATATATATATATGAAAAATAAAAATAAATGGATTTATTGCATAAAGGACATGTGACTGTTTACAAATGCAAAGGAAGGACGGACTGCTAGCTATTATCTGATAAAAAAAAAAAAAAACCAGCCATATTAGATTTTCTGTAGATTAATCGGTGAATCATTGGGGAACTTTAATGTTTTTTAAGCTTCAAATGAAAAGCACTGCGATGCTTTAATCAACAAGACAAGAAATCAAATCTCGATTTGATTTTTTATTTTTATGACTGCTATGCAGACTTCAATTAATTTAATTTTTTTATTAAAAAATAAGTAACATATTTGGGTTTATGAAATTCAATTACGATAAATAAATGGGGAGTAAAAATGCACATTCATGTAATTAGGTGATCTTAGGAAAAGATTGCTCGGTAGCTCAACACCTATTCTTAAGTCTTACAATAAACCTACACGCCCATCACCACCACAAACACCAGCTGCCAGCGTCTCAACAGTAACCACGCCAGCCATGCAAATTATTGAACAGTGCACCTATCACAATTGAGGTGGACCTGCGGCGATACAATTGAAAGAGCCAACCAAAGCCACCTCCACCCCCACATCATATGCAGATAAGGACTAAAACTGAAAGCAGTAAGTCTAAGACCTTTCACTCCACCATCATTATTGAGCCCACCAGCCTGACCATAGAAAATAAATGTCCAGATTCGCGTCAAGCCCGGTCGGTTGCTAAAGACTTTCATCAAAGGCCATGGATTGATTATATGGACATGTTTAGTCCACAAACCA